TTTTTATTTACCCCCCCCCCCCCATTTACATTTTATCAGGGCTTGATGTTATGCATAATCACAGCTTTAAGTGACAGGCTGTCTGCGAGGTGTCACGTCAGTCTATGAGTTGGATCCACCCCTCGCTCATCCACAGCTCCACCTTCTCGTCCACATATGGTCACCTCTGACTCTAGAAAAAACAAGATGGCAACAGCTGAGATGCTGAAGGAAAAAGAAAACATATTCTTTCTAGTTTGCATAATACACTTCTTTAACTTCAAGGTATGATGCATTATCCATTTACTAAGTGTATTACCTTGGATCTTGTGATGGTGCTCTAGCAAACATATTATGAATAAAAGCCTGCATAATTTCAAATTTGTCATCCTTTCCTCAACTTATACATGCTGCTAAAAATTGCAGTTTTATAACACCTTTGTTTTAAGTGTTCTCTATCTGCTGTAACATTCAAAAAGCAATAGATCTATCTGAGACTAGAGTTTGCTCTATCAAACACCACCCAATTAAGGTGCTGTAGGGACAGCGTATCTTATGGTGACTAATCAGAGTGTATACTACATAGTAGGGGCAGTAATATTTTATTAAACAAGGCTTTTGCTGTGCATTTTATGTGTAAGGTTGACAGTGAGCCATAATGCAGACACAGTCATGTTTGTTCAAGCAAAATAAACTGACATAAATAACAAAATGTCCCTCAATTTTCTGTGATGAGGTGTATTGTGCAGTGTGTGCATATAACTGCATTTTGTTGTATGATTTTATGTAGGCGTGCAATTTAATATTTACATACAATAATTTCAAGAGTGTCCCGAGGGAGGTTATACACACCACATTTATTTTTTGATTACAGTAACCATTAGCATTACCCTATAACCTAATTACCCACACAGATTCAAAGAAGTGGGAGCTCTGAATTATTCAGAAATGCTCAGGGAATATGAACACCTACAGAGGCAAAGAGAGAACCTTAATTTTGAAAAAGGAGGACAAAAACATTCTGGGTGGGAAACATCTTAATTATAGGTCGCAGTGATCCACAAATCCATGTGTTTTAGCTACACCCAGGTTATAAAAGTAGTGTGAAAACCTACTGTAGGGCACTAAAATATGCTTTTAATTAAAATACTATTTATATAATTTTATGCAGATTACTAAAAGTGAAGGCCATGTTCACCTCTTATGGAACTACAGAGCCAAGGCTTTCATCAGACAAAACATGTAGCTTCTTCAGTGACAGCAAACTGCAGACATTTCTCTTCTTTTGCCAGCAGTCATGAACCAGAAAATCTGACTGTGTTTCTGTAAAATCAAGTAACCGTCACTGTCCACAAATGTGCCCTTTCATTTACTGTCACTGGAGAGAAAAAAAAATCCAGGGTGACGCTGTCTTGATTTTTTTGTTTCTAGCTGTGGAAGAGACTTGTTCATCGTCACAAATCCAGACTGATCTGTCAAAGTGTATTTGAATGAATGCTGCCTTCACAGGATGTCGGAAATGCTGTTTCTACAGCTACACATGACAGAAAACTAATTATAAAGCTGTGAAAGTGGGACATCCATGTTGCCAAAATGTGGCAGTTATGGGGCTCAGAACATAGAGGTCATGTCAAAAAAGCCAATGATAAGCGATGGCGTATATAGAAACAAAATCAGATTTTCATTTTCAGTATGTTGGAAGTTAAATTGTTGCACGCCTCACTGGTGGTTTCAATGAATTGCTGTGAGTAAAGCATCCTTACACTCAGTATTGCTTTTAATAACGAAAAAGAAGTGATTGTACTGCATTCATGTCAGACATCGTGCATGATTTAACCACTGTGGTCAGAGACTAAGACACTTCTCTCATTTCTACAGGATCATTAAGCTCTCGGCTTCATTACAACCCTCAGAAAACCATTCCCTTCAAATTATGTATTTTATAACTGAGAAAATCTGTGAAAGAGACACAAGTTAAGTTTTATCCTGAATCTTCATGCCTCAGCAGAGGATCTATGCACGACTAATATAACAGGAAACACACAGGTGTAACTAAAAACACTAGTAATGTTTCAGTTAAATGGTGTTACACATCAGCTTAACATATAAAAAAGTCAAACTAAGAACATGGTAACAAAACATATTCACAGGCCCAGTACACCTACACAGGTGTTTTGGGTTATTATGATTAATTAGACAGCCGCTCATGTTAAAGTTATAGTGTTAATAAATGATCTTTATGTACTAATAAAAACGATAAAGCTGCAATTTGTCCCACTCTAACAAGTACAAGTTATGTCAAAGGAGAGTGAGACAGATGAATGAACCACTGTCTGTACACACCCACACATTATTTCAAAGAACTAAAGTACATAAAGCATGACTTTAGTAAATACTGGTCATGATTCCTTCCCCAAAAACGGAGACACTATCAAATATGTAGGTCACAAAAGTTTTGATAAGTTGTGGATCCTCCAAGTGGGAGCACAGTCTCCAACTGAGCATGTTTCTAACAGGAGGACACCGAGGTTAAATCATTAAAACTGTTCTCTACTACGGCTCTAAACAGTATCACTCTTTTTCTCGACAGACAGTTTGACTTGACATTTCAAGAAAAGCACAGGTGTTATTTATAACAATGATGGTGGCATGCCATTTAGGTGTTCCCAATCCAGGGTTGACTGGCATGGCTTCCTGAGGGACCTAAACGAGATGGAGCTGTGCAATTAGTTACACCTGCTGTGACAAGACAAAATGTATTGTGTGTCCAGATTCTTTGTCCCCTGTATTGTTGCTCAAAATTTCAGAGCTCGACACATCCAGAGGAGGACTTCACATTACACATGGTGTTTTTTAGGTTGGTTCTGGTATGTATGCTTAGCAGTGTTTCAGTGTGGTCTTTGAAACAGCATTTACATCATGTGGTGAGATGAAATTACCATGTATCAGCAGCAGCAGTTAAATGAGTAAACGTGAATGAAATTAATTTGGAAATTTTAGAGGGTTTTTGGTGGCTAGTCAAAAAAGATTATGGAGGTGGGTAGTGCTTAGGCAGAAAATCTGCAACTATTTTTTAGATTAGTTAATAAATTAAGTAGTTTTTCAAACAGAAAAGCTAAACATTTGCTGATTGCAGCATCTTTGTTGAGATGACTTGCAGCTTTGCTTTGTTTTATATCATTATAAATTCAATATGCCAGTATCTGAAGCCCCTTTTACACTGCCAGATTTTCCGCGAATGTTGGGTTTTGCCGGCAAGCTGCGAGCGTTTAGACACACAGAGCTGGATTGGCGAGATGATCTGAGGTGCCCAATTTTCCGCCTTGTAGGGTAGTCATATTGGCGGAATCCTTTTAGTTTAAACAGACCGAGGCGGCCTTCCACAACGGGAGGGGCTGTTGAAGACTTGTGGGAGGAGCTGTTGATGATGTGCGACCCACTGGCGGTGGATAAACAGGAAACAGCTGATAGCAGGAATGAGCAGCTAGTAGCGAGAAGGAAACGCAAACCTGACAGACACTGTAAAGATGAGCAACTGAGGAGACAAGGAATTGCGCGCCCTCCTTGCCCTCGCAAATGAAGAGGCCATTAACCATCAGATGACGGGGACGGTGAAGAATGGGCCGACTTACAAAAGAAGCGCCTAAGGACTGACTAGCCACGGCTTCCCTCCCACGTCACTGTTTATGTCACACACTGAGCTACATGTTTTGTTATTTGCTCACGCCCCCCAATGCCCCGAAAAAGGTGCAGTCTGTATAAACAAAAGTAGGTAGGCGGCATTTTGCCGCACTCCCCGATTTTGTTTTTATACTGCCAATGCTGAACGAAGACTGATTGGGTTTTCCTGCAAATTTGCACAATTATTATAATATTCCTGTTTAAAAAGGGCTAGAGTTAGGGCCAGTGCCGGACCTAGCACATTTGGGGTGCCTATGGTGCCTGCTCCCCCTTTTGGGTGGTGCCCTAGGAGGCTCCCTATAGGCTCACTTAATACTCCCTTTACATATAAAAATAGCTATGCTTGTTTCAAGTGTTGTAAAATGCCCACATACTTCCATGCGTCCTTTATGTTGGCATTGATACAGCCAATAAATGGCACTAGAGGGCAGAGTCAAAAGTTTTGGATAACAAACAACAAGGTGACAGTGGTGGAGGTTGTATTGTACCTTTTAGAGGAAGTGTTACAGATGGCAGTGGTCTATGAGGTCAGTGAATACATCACAACAGTTCTTTTCACTCTATGACTGATTCAATCCGTTCCACCATTATTTGAATTTCTTTGTCATGTCCTACGGTCGTATCTCGCTTCAGCTATGCTCAACTGCCTGCACGCTCCCTGGTGGTACTGCTGTTTCATCTGTATGCGAGGAAATGAACACAGAGCATGGACAAAAGGCTCCATCCATCTCTGTCATATTTAACATTGAGCATAAATATCGCCTATAGCAAAAATCGCCACTGTGCTGGTCTGTTGGTCAGACAAAATAAGGACAGGAAGCTGTCGCATCAAAGACAAACTTTTTTTTTAAAGATAATTTATTAACCAAGCAGTTAATTGACAAAATATTCGTTAATAACAACAATCCAGACCTTGGTCTTTATAAAATCCTGGCTACGGCCCTGTTAAAGTTCTCTCTGTGTAAATAAAGTTAAACTCCGCAGCTTGAATCAAGAGTTTCACAAGAGCACTTGAAGGCAGCAGCAGTAAGCCCACATGTGTGTTTTTCGCTGTCAGCTGAGCTCAGTGAACGCATCCCGCCAGCAGAGCGCGTCCCTGCGCCTCGCACAGAAAATGGGGATGCCTCCGAGCCGAGCACAAACCCACTCCCCGTTTTCCGTGAAACTGTGAAAAGAAAAAGCCCTGTTGTTTTTTTTTAACACTGTCAGAAAGCCCATGCACTGCGAGCCTTCTCCACCTCCTACACCGCTCACAGGACTCACCCAGGATGCTGTCGAACAACCCGCACATCGGGCACAAAGTGGCAGGCTGTGTGATTTTCCTCTCCCTCTGTAAGTACTCACTTTACTTTCTAATCTTCATGTCAGGGGGCTCGGACCACACAGCTGCGAGAGACTACTGACACCCTCAACAGTAAACAGTTTGTCCTGGTCTCAAAGGTGAAGCTTGTGTTTGGAGAGAGGCGACAGTGTAGCGCTGAACATAGTGTTTCCAGCTGCGAGAGCAGACGAGCTGTGAGTCCATTTCCATAACTGTTGGAGAAGTGCGGAGCCATGATTTGACTCAACTTCCTGAGGAGTTGAAAGGCGATTTGCACATACTGCTTGCCATGTGGGTTTATGCAGACCATCGACTGGAAGTTAACACTGAAGTTGATCACAGGGAAAGCGCTGAAAGTGCTATCCGTTGGAATCACGGCATTTCTGCTGAAATCTGTTCCCACTCGCGACAAGCGGCGTTAAGTAGCTTCTTCCTGACACATCGACGTTGCACTAGTGGGAGTCGAGCCCGAAGATGAAGGCACCTCAGGCTACAGCTACTGTAAGCTTTACCAAGTCACATTTCTCTGTGTCAGTCTGGAAGTGCACCAGGAATTTAGCAACTAAAGTAGAAGAGTCAACCACATGCAGTGATTTATTCCTCTTTCTGTTGCCAGAGAAGGAGAGATCATACCAGCCAGCTGAGTGTCATTGTACATTGATTTAACAATAAGTTAAATTAGCTGCAGAAACATGTTAAATTATTAATGATTACATTTGACCTCCTCCTCATTGCTTAAATAGCTAATGGCTTAAATTTAATCTCACAGGAATAAAAGCATGTTTGAACATTGCATACAGTGCCGTACTGTATCTTCCACCATTACCAACAGAGATCTCCACATCAGAGCAGCAGCAATTAATTGAGTAATTAATTAATTGAAAGAAGATCAAACATTGCTGATTCTGGTTTCCTAATATGAGAGAACTGGCTGTTTTTCTTTGTTATAAATGAAGAATCTTTGGGTTTTGGACTGTTCAAGAAGCAATTTGAAGACGTCACTTCGGGCTCTGGGACTGTGATGATCATTTCTCGCATTTTTTTGACATTTTATAGATGAAACTATTGATTCATCAAGAAATAATTAGAAGATTAATCAATAATGAAAATACTAATTGGTTGCTGCCCTGCTCTGCATACAGTATGTGCATGGTGCACATACTGAATATACTTGGTGATGTGTGATCATGACACTCTCATATCTGCTGGGTGGGGTGCAGGTACACAATGTGGCTGCAGCTGTGGAGAGAATTACAGTGAGTGACCAATATTGCATGGCCCTGGCACCATGCTGATGTCCTCCTGAACAGTATGAGATAAATGCTGAGCGCAGTAGACTCTGCCTGCGTTGCTGGGACTGAATTTTGTCACTGTAGGATAATAAAAAATGCCAGAATATACAAGGATCTGCAAATATTTTAGTGCTGCAAGAAAAGTGCAACATCTGCCCGAGTAAATAGCACAGGAAATAATAACATACTTTAGTGTTCAAGCCCACAAACAGAAAGGTTAGAGGCTAAGAGGATATCTATGAATCTTAATGCTGCAAGAAATTGATTCCGGACACACTTATTTATTATTAATTGGATTCGACCGAGGATAATCAGTTTTTAACCTCCCCTTAGTCACTCTTTCACATTCTGTCTCTGCTCACTGTTCACCTGATCGCGCTTATGTCATATAAAAAATCTGCCTGGTCTCTTTATTTTACAGACTTTCATCATTTTTTGAGTTCTCTGGGAATGCAAGAAAAGTTGTCAGATGTCATTTACGTATCATCTTTCATTCTTGGTCCCTGATTGCGCTTTGAAAGGGTAAGAGGTTTTTCTCAGTTTAATCTGTACTTAATACATGGATATGGTTGAAATGTTGCATTTCAGCTCACCTCAAGATGCTGCACATTGAACAAAAAAAATATATTTCAGAGCTTCTATTTAACCTTGTGGATATGTCAAAAATACAGTACAGTCTGGGCAGTATGGAGAGCCAGGGTCAATGCTGCAATCCACCGGTACCCTGTGCACATGCAAAAGCTGTTTTTCTGCGTTTGGCACCGGGTCAAGCACGTTTAGTTGGGCATCAGCCTCTGACAAGGCTTGTCTGCTCCCCCTGTATGTAATATTCATGGAGCAAACATCAAGGCACAGCCAAGATCTGGAGAGTGTCCAGTTTGGTGACATTAAGGTGCCACCTCCACTGTTTTTAAATGATGTCGTCCATAAGGCTTCACCAGACTGTCATTTCTAGTGTGCACTGGAGCAGATTGTAGCTGAGTGTGAAGCAGACAGGATGAGGAGCAGGACCTCCAAGTTGGACTCTTTTTGAGTCCACGTGGGCCAAATTTCAATTGTGACGCATGTGGTAGCTCCACAAAGTCAGCAAGTGATTGCTGACACAGACATACTACAACAATGTACGATATTAGGGACAGAGAGAACACTGCACACGCTGTGGATTTGATTTCAAAAGCTAAAATCTTGAGAAAAAAAAGTCCTATGCTGTTGTTATGCGAGTGTGGTGAAACACTACAAATAGCACATTTATTGCAGTTGAAGATGTTCCTCATACTCTGCCACTGAGAAATGTTCCTCGCACCTTTTATTGCTGCTTTGTCATCTTAATTTAAGGTGGAACATCTGGAAAGTTCCAGATTGCCATTTTATCTCACCATCCCCCAGTTTTAAAAGATCTCAATACAAGTGTCTTGTGGTTTCACTCAGAAGTGACAATAAGGACTGTGAAACTGATGTGGGTGATGATGGTGAGGAAAGAGAGACAAGCTCTCAAACAACTGTCTTAGTTCTGACCGCCAGCTGTTGGGTAGACGGACTGATATTGCAGACATGAGCAGCCGCGTTGAGTTTTCTCTGCAGGCTGGAGGGCCTCACTGTGGGTGAGAGGGTGAGGAGGTGTGTGATGCAAGAGGGCTTCAGGGTGCAGCTGCTGCTGTTGCTTCCACGCACTCAAAGGGGCCAGCTGAAGTGGATCAGGCACCCTATAAAGACGCCATCCACCAAAGTGGCTAAACTCTTTCAGATGCAGGATGTGCTGGTGAGATTACTGTACATCTGGGAGGTTTTGGGAGTGCTTGACGATCTCGCAGGAAGAGAGCTGCTGGGGAAAATCTGCTCTGTGCACTTGCTTTTGAAAATCTGTCCACCTGTCATCCAACTGATGAATGGATGGATGGAGGTCTTAGTTACAGCTGCAAGGATTAGTCGATTAATCAATTAGTCGATTGACAGAAAAATAGCCAACTATATTGATCGATTAATCATCAAAGTAACTTTTCATGCAAAATTGGCAGAAAATGCTATTTTCAGGCCCTCAAATATGGACGCTTCCAGTGTTTCTCTGTTTTATGTCATGTAAACTGAATATCTTGGGTCTTTCTTGGACTGACAAAACAAGACATTTAAAGACATCATCTTGGACTTTGAGAAACTGGTGACATTTTTTCCTATTTCTTGACAGTTCAATGACCAAATGATTATTTGAGAAAATAATTGGCAGATTAATCAATTATGAAAATAATCATAGTTGTAGCCCTAGTTTTAATCATGATATCTGACTGAATTATCCATCCATCCATCCATCCATCCATCCATCCGCTTATCTAGGGCCGGGTCATGGGGGCAGCAAGCCGAGCAAAGCATTACAGATATCCCTTTCCCCAGTGACGCTTGCCAGCCCCTCCTGGGGGACCCTGAGGCATTCCTAGGCTGGATGAGACATGTAATCCCTCCAGCTTGTTCTGGGTCTACCCTGGGGCCTCCCACCAGTTGGATGTGCCTTGAATATCCCTAACAGGAGGCATCCAGGAGGCATCCTGATCAGATGCCCAAACCATCTCAACTGGCCCCTTTCAATATGAAGAAGTAGTGGATCTACTCCGAGCTCACTCCGGATGTCCAGGCTCCTTACCCTGTCTCTAAGGCTAAGCCCAGCCACCCCAAGGAGAACACTCATTTCAGCCGCCTGTATCCGCAATCTCATTCTTTCGGTCACTGCCCAAAGCTTATGACCATAACTGAGGGTTGGGACGTAGATGGACCTGTAAATCAAAAGTTATAATGAGAAATTTTTAAATGAACTTCAATTACTGCCATCATATAACCCAAAGAAAACCTGAAAATCTTCAGCAACTGAAACCAGAATATTTTTGGCATCAATTATCAAAATTGTTGCAAATTCATTTTCTGCCCATGAACTAATGAATTAATCAGCTTAGGATTTCAGCTCCTTCATTAACAAGGCTGCTTTTTGGCAATGAATTTTTTGCCATTTCTGCACCAGTATGATCAAGTACTTTAATTTTCAGGTATTTAATTTCCTGGATCAGCCAGAAACATGACTTCTACATCTGGTTATTTTATCCATTAACAATTTCCCAATTCATTTCCCACAAAAATGCTCATACTGATATTGGGGTAATAAAATGACATACTGTGATGATGTAGGATCTTATTCTTATCATCCGCCCTGAAGTGGTACTTACCAAAGAAAACACTGAAGATAAGTAGTGTTTTGACATTCCCTTTAAACACACATATTTGCAAGGCAGATCCAACTTACAATGCTGTAAAAAAATGCAGATCATTCAGTTACTGACAGCAACATTATGACTGACAGTCACTAATGACTTATGGTATTTAAGACACCATACCACCATTTTTTTATTTTTGTTTTCCTTTTGTATGGCCATATTAATCACTAATGGTGTAAATTAATATTTTCTTTAATTGAAGATCATCTTTCAATGCACTTGAAGATGTTGGATATTAGGCATCCTAAGTTCAAAAAAGATGTAAACTGTATTTAGATAAAAGGATAGCATTGAGAGAGCTCCAAGTAAAAGCAATATCTGGGTTAGAAGTTGCCAGTATGGGATCTAGATGGCTGCTGGCAATGCTTGAGTGGAAAGAAAAAGTTTAGATTTAATACGACACAATGCCAGATGAAGCCTTTGCTTCTCGCATGCCTAACATACAAATCAGATGCATTATTACGATTGCATGTGCAGTGCAAACTGTGTGCCATCTGTGCCAGTTCTTTGAGGAGCTACTCTTATTATAATAGTGTTTGCTGCCTCTGTCACTGCAAAGTGTTTGTCCCTGAAATAATTACAGAAAGAAACACACTTTGTGATTAACTTTACAGATTTTTCACCAACAATGAAAAATGGATTGAAGCTGCAATAAGTGATTTTTTTTATTTATAGGGACCAGAGAATGAAATCCAAAAACTCACAGCAACACATTTCTCACTTTCTTAAATTCTGTTTGGATGGAAAGAAGCAAACAGACAACACAAATCAAGGCCCAGACAGGTCTGCATGATTCTTCATCATTCTCACTTTTCCACCAAAAGTAGCACGTGTAGGCCGATGCATTTTCTTTTAACACAGGAAAACACATAAAATAGGCAAAACACTGCTTTCATATTGCCAGTAGACCAGCAGACAAGGATGCCTTTCTGTTTTTTTCTGTTTTGTTTTTTGT